CAGTGACACAGGATACCTTCCATAGACGTGCTCCATGGGAGGTGACTGGCCTTGAGCAATCAGGTGGTTCAGGTATTTAATGTCAACCTCTAAAGATCAGCCCTCCAAAGCCCTCTTTTCTCAATCCTCTATAAATAACTATACTTGTATCTACTTTTAGTATCAAACATCTCATTTTCCAGATCGAGCTTTACAATCACTGGTCAAATGTTTACAATCCCAGGCACACTGACCCATAATACTTTTTTAGATAGACTTTTAAAAAAGGACCTGTGTAGCTAGACTGACTGAGACCGGCATGGCAAAAACATGTTTTCTAAGGGGCCAAATCCCACAGCAAAAGTCTTAAGACAGAGAAGTCTTAAGGCTGTTTTCTTCAGAGTTTGCAGTTATCCACAAGACTTCATTTGGCCATGCCTTAAATCTAAAAAGGATTAAATGTCTCTGAGAGTAACCAGATATGGCTATCAAGTATTTCAGTCCCAAATTATTAACCTCAAGCTTCCAAGACTCCCTATCCTGACAGCGAAGATCCCTTTTAGATGCCACAGGGAGACTAAAAGTGGTCTGAAGTGAGAAGTCAGGAGGAAAAGAAATGAGAAGAGCACCTCCCACCTGTTTTAAGCAGGCCTTTCCTGTGTTTATCCAATTAGCATATTCTTATTAGGTAACTCCTAGGGATTTTAAGGAAGAATTCCAAATGTTAAAAAATGTTGAAAACTTCTGTTCTCGAAAAACTCCCTTCAGCATAAAATCAGCCCACAAGGAAATCACTGAACTGAATAACCCTGGAAAGCCATTACTGCTCACTTCTTCCACTCCCAATCAGTTCCTTCCGATGATAATCCAGGGGAATTAACAAAGCAATATTGTTTCAGCAAGTCTAGAAAAATCCAGTTTCTTATGTTATGAAATGCATGACATAAAGCCTACTAACCAAACAACCCTTTATTTTGGCACAGTTGTAGACCACAAAATATGGCTGTGAGTGCAGGGGAGATTTAATGGTGTTACAGAGCTAATGCCAGGCTCTGAGGAACAAAGAACTCTATTTCCAGCTAGGATTCTCAGCCAGAAGTGTCTTCCCACTAAGTGTGAGCAGTTTCCAAGATGCAGAAGCAGAGGTAAAGTATGTCAATGCCCTCCACAAAGACCACCTGGAGCAGCTCTGCAATTGACAAGCTGGGCTTATCAGGCACTGCATAGAGGAGAACATCCACAAGAGGCAACCATGAGCATCTCGATACATGTTGGAAGGAACCTATTAAGAGATTTGGGCTTTGGTTGGCTAACCTGGGGGAAAGTCCAGAGAAGGGGGACTTTGTTCTAGATTGGAAGCTGTAAAAAAGCATGGACAATTACATGATTGAATATCGCAATAATATAATTCTTACCTATAAGTAGGATAGACTAGAAAAGGATTAAAGCTGTAATTGGTAAAGAATTCACAGTCACTAATAAAGGATAATCTTGGCAAAGAACAGGAAAAGGTCACACTAGACAGGAACAGATACTATTCTGGGCCACAGTGGGTAAGAATTATCGTCAATTCCTTTGTGCCAAAGACTCTTGATGATTTCAGAAACCCACAGAACAGTATTTTAGTAATACTATGCATATCTATGTCTACATCACATTCTATACAATGGTTCTGGATATGTCATTCAAGGCATTTTTCTGTCCTCTTCAATAATGCCTATGTTAAAATACCTTTTCTATGGTCATTTCATACAGTTACCTGGTATAGGCAGACCCTACCTGACTAATTCAGTCAAGTTTCTGATGTCCAGAGGGGTAAAAATTGCCAAGTGTCACTGCTTGCTTTTCAAACTATCTGTAGTGAAGAAAGTTTCTTTTCACCCTAACTAGTCTCAGACTGGTAGTTTTGTAAAATACAATAAAAACATTATATATTTAATATGTGATTTACATAATTTGATAAAGCAAGACACAAAACACCAGCTCCCCTTTTTCTTTATTATTAGACTCAACACAAATACAGTAACTCAGTCAAATTGCTATAGAAGTTCATATATATAGTCTCACTTTCTATATTTATCACAAGCCTGAGTCATCTGTGGACACATTTTGAGTACCATTGTTTTTTTTTTTTTTAATTAAAGTATGCTGCTTAATACAAATTAATTCTGTCTGAAGTGCTGTCCATTTCAAACTCACATAGCACATCACGGGTAGCATAAGAAAAAAGAGGTAAGGAATTTCACTTGAAGAGAAGGATGCTTCTCTCTTGAGTTGCTAAGAACCCCCTAACCTTAGTGAAAAATAAATCCCTAAGGCTGATTCCTACATGCAACAGCTTCAAACGACACATGTAGAAAATAAGATCACTGGAATCCTGTCTACAACAACCTAAAACTAACCTAATCAAAATGATTAGATTTCCCATCCAGGTAAGGTTTCAATGGCATTCTCTTCCATATCAGGAGATTTAACTATATATTTGCTGAGCAGAGATTTTCCCATCGGTATTTTTAGGTCAGAGGTGGCTGTACTTTCTACTAGGACAATTTGGATTTGATTATATAATCCCAGACCCTCCCTGGGCAATTATGTTATCTTAGTATCCCTGCTTAACTTTCTAAAATCAAGAAGGTCAAGCCTAAATCCCTAAATGGCAAGTTAAAGGGAAAAAAGTGTTGAGACATCAGCTAATCAGCCAAATTTATTTACAGTCTCATCAGTTAAAATTCCTACTTCATCTCTGTTAAAGAAGTATCCTGTCCATTGCAATACTGCAATTTTAAGAACTTGTCCCCAGCTTAATAAAGTAGCCACCAGTGTTTGTTGATTTGGTCTCCGTAACCCTGCTTCTTCTCTTCCTGCCATCATCTTCATTCTTCCTCCTGGCACATAGCTGCTATGAGCTGAAAATGATAGAAAAGGCTTCTGTTTCTCCGTGTGTACACAGTCAGCACTGCCTGCTATATTAGCCATGAACGTCCTTTTCCTGGGTGAAGCTGAAGGCCTGGGCCACTTATCTCTGGCTCAAACCTCAGTCATATTCATAAAATCACTCCAGAAGGTACTCCCTTTAGCCACAGATTCTAATGGGCTTTGACATTTCTGTCAAATATTTTGACACGTAAATTCTATGAGAAATGTAACATCTTTGAGCTCCAAGGGAACAGCACCATGACGATTCTGTTCACCATTTCACAGTGCCTGGAATATTGTGTAGAGTAATTGGCTTCCTATAAGTATATTTTAATCAATTAATTGACTAGTGAATCAAAGAATGGAAAAAATGAATATTTGTAGCATACACTGGTATAACATGCACACACTATATCAAAATATACATAATGACCACAGTTAACACTGTACCTTGAAAATGAGAAATTAATCCTAGTGATTTATGTTTATTCACACATTGCATCTTTTTCCTTATCCTTATAACAATGTCATTACCCCAGATTTCTGTACCATGATTAGATAATTTGACATGTACAGTAAGAAAAATACTGATTGCTAAGTCAGGTTTAAAAATCACTGTGATAATCCATTAAAATAATTTCCTGGCCTTTTATTTTTCTTAAATTGATTTTCAAGCCTATATCCCAAGTTCTAAATCTTAACTGAGGAGATAAAAAGTACATAATTATTTTATCTATAAAACTAAAAAATAACAGCAAATTAAGTTTTATACTCAATATATTTTAAATATTATTATAAAACAGTACCTTTTATATAATTTATTTCCTTTTATATCTTAGCAGTATTGAATCAAGTTCTCTCTTAGCAGTATTGAATCAAGTATTGAAGAGTGTTCTAGAAAGTGCTCTCTTTTTCATTATTTTTATTCAATGACCAGTAATTCAAGTCTACCCAACCTTTCTATAGAATGAGAAAAAGCTGAAAGATTCCTGGTTTTCAAACCCAGAACACAATTCAGCACCAAATGTGAAGATGTAAGTCCTAATCTAATGGAGTCCAACTCCAAGAGTTAGATCTGCTGTTATGTACTGTACTCAGTTTTCTGTACTGACTTCTAAAACTCTATGGAATATCGAGAGGCAGTGAAAGCCTGAAAAAATAAAGCCTAAAACAATGAACTCACCAGCTTTTGGTAAAACACACGGTTTGGGGTTGGGTTTATGCATATGGAAGATGATAGCAGAATATTCACAGTATTGTGGGAGGACCAGCCAAGGTAGAATAATTATAAACAGGAATGTAAGGAATATTTTTAGAACTCCCAGAAGAGTGACAAAACAAAGGGAAAAGCTCCAAACTCCCAAGAAATAGCAGCCTGGCAACCACAAAAAGAAAAATGGTTCCTCTTTTTGTACAAAGCCTTGGAGTCAACTGTGGTTAGAAGAGGCATAAACACTGACACACTTTTCAAATAACACCTGGCGATACAAAACAAAAATATTTCACATCTGCAGAGTATGTAAAGAAAGGTTAGTTACTATTGACCTCAACAACAAAACTGAAGAGCAACACATGGGTATTTTATTTGAAAATAAAGAAGAAAATGAACCAAAGCCACCATACAGAGAAAAGTACATCTCATGTTCATAAAGTAATGCTATTTGAACAATTCTGACAGAGGATCTGCTCATCGCCCATTGTAACACTCTGTGGGGAAGCAGAAGAATGCTTTCAAAATAGTTTAAGAAGATACCCAAAGTTTCCACATAAGAAGTGAAATACTATCATTTTGGAGGCATCTGTGTTCCTTTAGAAAGTTTTCAGAGGACTTTGAAAGAAATAAAACCCCCAATGCAGCACAAGTGAAAATATAAGCAAAAAATGTTAAAATATTGTCTTTCATTTCTTGAAAGCATGTTGTCCTCATGTCAAAATTCAGCCAAAGCACACATCTTTGACAGCAAAAGGTTTTCTAATGTTTCTTCCTGAACTTAAAATATAATAATGAGGCTTCCTTTCCACCTCTACCTTCCAAACCATGCTGAAACCATGCTGTGCTCCCAAACACCTGCAAACACATACACACAAAAGGGAATGAGTCTTACCAGACCATCACAGTTGCTAATGGCAACAGAGGTTCCTGGAATGTCCATGATGTCACCAACATAAGCACAGTTAGTCTGCAAAGGCTCTGTTTTCCCAATTCTTTCTGAAGCACTTCCTGGTTGATGACCATTAATGGGGTTGGTTATATTCTCAGGCACCAGAGATGTCTCCTGCCATTCCACAACAGCCCCAGGAGCTACTAGCTGAGTATTGGGCTTTAGTCGCAGATGAAAATCTCTTCCAAATGCTGTGATGTTAAAGAACAGCTGCCCAGAGTTGGAAGACACGTCCCTCGTTGACCTCTTTTTGTGATTTGCAGAAAGAATATGGGAGAGATAGTGTCCTTCAAAATTTGTGCTGACTGGGGTCACCAGCTCATACTCTCTCTGTTTCTTTATTGGTAAATCTGTGGGGTGAGAAATAGAATTGTAGAACCCTGTGCAACAAGGGAACACAGGAGTACGTGACAGAGGCATGAAGTGCCCACTTCCCTGGACTGTGCGTCAACTCGCATAATGGATATATTCCATTTGAATCATCTTGTAAGTATTAAACTTTGAGAACTCAAATAGTTTCTCAAATGCACTTAGATAACCCTGTGTTCAATAAATCACTTTAAAAATTGTTTTAAAGTTTATTGTAATGTGAATACTCATATCTCATTAACATGTTTGAGAACATGGATGTAATGCTTCCATAAGCTACAATATTTAATCAAGACATATTCCCAACTGATTTATTGGTGGCATTAACTGACACCTGAAGAAAATTTTTAACAAAGTTACTATCACGTAGGAGAAATTTTTTTCTGATGGTTTTAATTTTTCCCTATAAGAATCCTAAAACTTATACTAATTACAATAGCTACTTCATGTTACATCTACCATAGGCCTGTAATTTATACACTGCAGTTTCTGATGCTGTAGTTCATGCATTTTTTCCACCAAAACCACCTTAACAATCATACTTCACAGGTGAGGAAACTGACATTCAGCAGGTATGTGTCCAAGATCAAACCACTGTGAAGCTCAGATGTGAATCCAAGTCATACTCCAAAGCCCATGAGCTCATTCTGCTACAACATGTGTGTCCCATAAATCACAGAATATTTTCAGAAAATGAAAATGGGTAAAAAATAAGAAATAATAATCTATAAATCGGATGTTCAGATACAGGCTAGTCAAGAAGAAATGACATTGCTATTTTGTACCATATTCCTTACATGAGACAGGTACTCATTGGAGTATGAGTGTGTATTTGGGGCCTACCTCACAATTTGGGTGAATGAATAAAGTGAATTTCACAATTGGAACTTAACTCCCCTAATTTAGCCAAATGTGAGTATTATGTCCACTAAAATGCAAACATCTTTGAAAAGATAACACATTGAATGAACCATTAATTGAAATGATTTTGAAGGCAGAAAACAGTGTTTATTGGAGAAGGAAATGAGGGCAACAAGAATGAGGAAAGCACACATGGAGAGGAAAGTCTAAAAACATGAATTAAAAAGTTTCCCACCTTGGAAGAAGAAAGGGGGTATTATGATTAGCATGTATAATGTGGGGGGTGGGGGAAAGGGGAGGGCTGTGCAACACAGAGAAGACAAGTAGTGATTCTACAACATCTTAATATGCTGATGGACAGTGACTGTATGGGGTTTGTGGGGGGGACTTGGGGTAGGGGGGAGCCTAGTAAACATAATGTTCTTCATGTAATTGTAGATTAATGATAACAAAATTTAAAAAAAAAAAGTTCCCCACCTTCATAATTCTAGCCTAAGATTAGTCCTGCAGTGTGTTAAAGTACCCTGAAAATTTTTTAAATGCTTCACAAATACTGCTCATCTACAGCAATTGCATTGTATGTCATCCAAAAGAGTATGAGACCCAAAAATGAACCTACCACCTATGCTTTTAGAGCACCATCCTAAAATCACTGTTTTCATTATTTTCTTTTTTCTTTAAATACCTCAAACAATGTATAAACTACCAGAAGGCAAATTAAGGTATTTTGCAATTTGGCAACACCTGAAGTGCATGTTTGTTATCATTATGCTACTTAAAATAACCAATGTATTTAAACAAAATATTCCCCTTTATTAAATGCATAGAGCAAGTTAACACTGCTGTAAATATTTATTAAGCAGAGAGTAAAGTGAAGCCTGGCTCCAACACTGGGAGCAGCAGCAATATGATCCATGCTGTGGGATCATGGACCCCACTAGGCACCAGTGTGAACACAGCCATGAACATTGCTCTCTTATAGCCAAATCTATGAGGAGTGCTGTGGGTGCTGGCTCAGGGAAAGAATTCAGATTTAGGGAATGAACTCAGGTGTCACAGGAGCACAGGGATGCGGGGGAAAGCTTCCCCAGTGAGGGATGAATCAGGACTGACAAAGCCTACCTGAAATTAACTCTAAATCCCTTAAAGACAAGGAACATCCCATTCAACTTGGTATTCCCGGTGTTATCTAGTACAAGAGTTGGTGCATGCCAAGGTCTCTTGTCAGTAAGATATGTTTAACCTGTATTAAGTTAGTAATGCAAGTAACCAGAGCACCTTTGCTTTGTCTCCAGTGCTACACACTCTGACTTATAAGACACGTTACCCAAGGCCCCCAAGCATCTGGCTGCACCAGTAACAGTTAGAACTCATTCTCTAACCATCGGTTTATTGTTTCAAGGGAAGGAGGAAGCAATTCTTAATTTTAGTGGATGGATTTGCCATCTCCACTGAAGGGAATTCACATAACCAAAGTCTAGACAATATACTGATGCCTGAATTAAGTGACTGGAGAAGTAGAAAATGTGGGAAGAAGGCAGGAAGTCTCCTCCACGTCCAAGAGGACACCCAAAGCCTCATGCTCACAGTAAACTATGTGCCCTGGATTTCCTGGAACAGTTCCATTTTTTTTGCTGTCAAACAAATGTTCTGAATTTTTATTCAAAATAAAGATGGTGTATTTCTAATGCCAAATAATAAATCATTCCTAAAATGTACACATAAGGAACTTCTGAAACTAAGCCTTAAATGAGTCATTTTCTAGTGGGGAATTAAGATAACCAAGGGAAAAGGTGTACTCAGGAACCCTTCAGGCTAACAGCCTTCTGGAGGGCAGTTTGCAGAACTGACAAAGGAGCTACCAGGTCAACTGTCATTTATTAGCAGAATAAATACCAGGCATGGTGCTTTGTGCTCAACTCTAACTCTCACAACAATCACAATAGGTAGATATTATTATCCCTAGTTTGTAAATGAGAAAACAGGCCTAGGCTAAGGCCTGACCTACAGCAAGCACGGAGCCCAAGGAAAATTTCAGTTCTGATCATTTTAATGCTGAGACCACACTCCTGTACTCCCATTCATTACGGAATACATGGAACATCTTGCTGTAGATTTCTAATGAAAGATCTTACTTATCAAGGAAAACTACTACAAGAATAATGACATTCTTACTAACTATAGTCAGCCAACCAACTCTTCTAGTGTAGCTTTAAAAATTTACTTTTTCACAGCCTTTAACTTCTCTTATAGCTTTTAACTTCTCAGTTGTTGGGAGAAAAAAAAGTGGGGGTGTAGAGGGTAAAGCTTAAAACCAATCAAAAGTATTTTAATCTCAGATTACAATCATATAAGCAAACTAAACTGTATCCAATGTTAATTTACTGCATTGATAAATTACACATTTCATAGGCCCCAATACTTCCACAGAGCAGGACAGCCCACTGCTAACTGCACAACCAGAAAGCAGCTAGTTAAATCAATGTACCACCTTGAACGAGTTCTTTACTTTCTCTTAGGCTCAATTTCCTCAAATGTTAACTGGAGATTAGTAATAGTTTGAACTTCATAGGTTTTGCACAGGATTCAATAAATTTTAGCTATTATTAATTTACAGGTAAGTTAGCTACTCATTAAAATATTGCCCATGTGTAATTTAAAATGTGAAACTGTACAATTGTCATCTGAGATGGCTGAAGAGCCACAGCAATAGGTTTGTAAAGGTTATTATATAAGCGCAAATAACTAAAGCCACTGTAAAGCCACATTATGGTCACTAACTCCCCAGGTATGACTCAGTTGCAGTGAACTTCCCACAACCCACCAGCACCAGTGCACCTGTGGTCTATCCGCCTTCTGGTACTACGGATGAATCGTCTGGGGTCTTGCTCTACTTGTTTACCACAACTAGCTGCTCTTGCCTTTACAAGAACAATTCCAGAAATTTGTCCTCTCTTTTCTCCTCAGTTTTCCCCACATCACTAGATCATTCCCACCAGCAAATACATAAGCTGCCATCATATCTCCCATCTTTAATTAAAAACCTGATGCCACCTCCCCCTCTAGCTAATACCTAATTACTTCACCCCCTTTTACAGAAAAACACTTCAAAAGATTAGATATCTTCAGTTTCTCTCTTCCCATTCTTGTTCTTTCTGGAATCTGATCCAAGCAGGCTCTTGTCAAAGGTCAGTAGTAGCCTAACTCCACGTTGCTGAAACCAATAATCAAAAGACTCCACCCTCTTACCTGCCCTATCGCAGTATCTGACCTGGTTTATAGCTTCTTTCTTCTGTAAATACTTTCTTCAGTTAGCTTCCAGGACCTTTCTCTTCTGGTCTCCTCTTTGCTCTCTGGCCACCCCTTCTCATTCTCCCTTCCTCACATCCCTTTATTTCCATGACCCATATACACTGCTGTACCAAGGACTGGTCCATGGACTCGTCTGCACCTACCCTGTCCAGTGTGCTGCGCTCATCCACTCTCAGGGCTTGAAACGCCTTTACAATCACTTAGCCCGGGCTTATTCCATGAGCTCTGCTCTTGTCAATTCAACTGCCTACAGATCCTGTCCATGTGGACATTCACTAGGCACCTCAACATTTCCAGACTTAAACTTCCTATCTCCCTGCTCCCAGATCTGCTCCTTCTTTCTCCCACTAGTACATGGCAACTCTATCCTCCCAGATACTCACATTAAAAACTTAACTAAACCATCCTTAACTCTTCTCACACCACAAACAAAATCTTTTAACGAATTCTAGTGACTCACACTTCAAGACACCTCCAAACTCTGACCACTGCTCACCACCTCCTCTGCTAATTCCCTAGTCCAAGCCACTATCATCTCAGTTTTGAATGTCTCAACTGTCTCCCTGATTCTGCTCTCCCCCTTCATAGATTATTCTCAAACCAGAGACTGAGCAGTTCACATGGCAGGTCATGTCACTCTTCTTCTCAAACCCATCCCATGCACAGTAAAATGGCTCACAAGGCCTTATAGTCTGGCACTGGGAATTATCACATCTCACAGTCACTGTGCTCCCTGTTTCTTCTGCCAAAAGCTCTTCCCTGCAGACAGCTGCATGGCTCACCCCACAGGTCCTTCAGCTCTTTGCTT